AAAGAAATAATCTGAAAAATGCTTTGAAATTAGATTTTGCCTCCTTTAGCTCCTTTGCCTGCAGAAACAGAAAGGGCAAGCCTTTCTGTTTTGTTTAAGAAACAAGTTCCTCCCTCGTTGTCTGCACCTTCACTGTGCTGTTCAGTCATCAGCCCTGTAGTAGTGCTTCCCATCTTCCTGTTGTCCCTGTGTCCCTGCTCCCTCCACAAACACCCTCTCTGCAGGGCCATAGAGCAGGCCCCAGCTATGCCTCAGCTACTCAGCTGTGTGTGCGGGAATATTGATTTGACAGTGTGTATACTCTGTAAAAAAAATCAATATTTCAGTAGATTGAGCAGAGTGTGCGGCAGTGTAATGGAGCCCAGCCTGCTAATGTAATGTGCAGGGGTCCTCATTCAGAGATTGAGGTCAGTCAGAAAATGGAAATGTGTTTTCTTATTTTATTGTGTGCTTCAGGTATAATGTAGGTGTTTATGTTCTAGTGTTTAACTTACAGCACACAGTTACTTTTAAGTCATGTCCAACAGAAGGTCACATATTGCAGGTGACATACACAAAAAAGCATGCCACAGATATACAATCCATTTTTTTAAAGCTGAGTAAATCCCCTCTTACCTTTATCCATCATATAGCTATCAAACAGTTGTGAGGGAAAACGCATAATTTTTGTTTCTGCAAATAAAAATAATGGTTTTTTGTTTGGTGCAAGCTTGGCTTCTGATTATGTAATGAAACATGCAGTACTTTAACAAACTCCAATATAGTGACATGTATCGAAGAATATCATAAAAAGGGCATAAGTGAAAAGAACCAGGGAGGAGAAATAACCAATGTATGACACAAAACCAGAGTAAAAGCTCCCATTGATTTTAGTGGACCTGGGATTTCAGCCAGAATGTTCTCCATTATACATTTTCCACTTTTTAAACGGTTGCATCATGCCTTAAAATGCAGCAAGAGTAGTTCCTGAAATGACATGAGAAACCACAGCATTCTCAGGCTCAGAGTCAAGATTAGTGTAAGCTAACGATTGTTTCACAGCTCTGGGGACACTTGATACAGTTTTATCTTTACTTAATAATTTTATCTGCTGGTTTTGTTGGAGGCTATTTCTCGTCCACCAAAATCTCTCACTGCAGCAGTGAGCACAGAGTTTTACGTTTGTGAATGCTACAATGCTTTGTGCTGAATATAACACACATTTCAAGATGCTACGGGGGCCCTCATGTTCGGTTAAAAAGGCAAAGCTATTTATTCTTTCGTCATTCACGTTCTTAATTGGAGTCTGATTTGGCAGTCGTGGCCGGGGAGGCACGCAGGGCTGGAGCGGTAACATCCTTCAGTTACAACTCTGCTTTAGGACATGACTCATGAAGAAAGCTTCCATATGTAAAATACTGCTACCTACAAATGCACACAACACTGGGATTTCTCAAAAGTCAGCTGATATCCTTCAGTCACGGAACACAGATTTCTCATATATGTTTCACTGTTCAGATAAGTGTTTGTTTTAGTATTAACTGCTGCTGGAAACTTGTGCACTCTGAAAAACATACCTCAAGACATGCAATATGTCCTAAAATATTGTAACTATAGTTTGCAAAATAATATTGTAATCACATAGTATGTAAAAATATATTACAACTACTACGGTATAATATTTTACTTGATCCTAGAATCCTTTTCCCAGTACAAGTAAGATAAACTGCAATGAAAGTAGTATTCCAATTTAAATTAGAAGATGAATCTCATCGCTGAAGATTAAGAAATAATAATTAGTCTTGCACTTTACTTTAAGAGTCCATCTGTTTTGGCAGCATGATTCCAACTAAGAAGATTCAAGGAGGTGGTTACTATGTGAGACAGACAAAAGTACATGATATAGAGGACCATGCTGTGATGTTTTAAAAACTAAAGCTGAACAATATTTCACAGAATGTTAGTTTAAAAGGTGAGAGAGTTTTATGATAGAATTTACTTTTATGAACTGAAGACTCTGTTTTTCAAGGGTTTTTGTCTGCCAGCTTTGCAAAATAGTAAATTAGGGCTGAGTTTTGGTGGTTTTTGTTTTGGTTTAGTTCATTTGGTTGGTTGCTTTTTGTTGTCTTTTTGCTTTTGTTTGCTTTTTTTCGTTTTGAAGAAATTAGTACATTATAAGAATTAGTATTTAAATCTAATTGAAAACTGGAGTTACGCTGGGTGGAAAATTAATTTTCTCATTAGTTGGAGAACTTTTATGGTATTCGTACAATATGTACTCAGCCTAGAGCATCAATCAATATTATAGAATGTTTTAAAACAAATGTAAACAATTTATATTATGACAATTTGTAGCATTACTTATTGATAGAAGAAAAATGATACATAGAAACTCACTGCCATATAATTCTAATTCTTAGTTGGTTATTATCTGAGATTGCTCTTGATTAAATATGATTTGTGTTATATCTGTGTAATTCTGGTCTTCATTACTATAATAAATGTGCATTAGAACTGCATTATAATGTCCTAATTGTGAAATTGCCATTGAGTAAATTAAAGTTCTGAGTATTGTAATGCAATATTTTACTGAATGTTTTATTTCCTAGTGCTTAAATTTCCTTGCATATTGGAATCATAAAATTAATTGCTAAAGTTAATGAGTAATGATAGACAGTCTAAGTCAGTGGTAAGTCAGAGAAGAATCCAGGTTTCCTGAATTCCTATTCTCTCTCTAAAGAATAGACAAAGTAGATACTTCTTTCTGAAATTGTAGAGATGCATGACTGATGTAAATATAATTTTAGTAGAACCTGAACATTACTAAAATAAGATGAGATCAAGCATCAAATCAAAACCTGAAGATACGAGGACATAATGTAATGAACTTTCATTCGAGCCAGTAGAAAACTTTCTATTGACCTTAATAAAACTGTTATCAATTCATAATGTGCTGGCATCAAGTGTATGAATAGCTCCATTAGTTAAGTAGCTAAAGGTCATAACAGCTTATGTGTTAGAAATTTGCAGAATCAAACCCTAGAATCAAAACCTAGATTACAGATCCCAAACGGAGTGACTCTGTCACCCACATTTTAAAGAAGTTATGCATGAATCTGCAAGGCGATCACTGCTGGGTTAGTGTAACACTATCTGCAAAACATAAGTATTTTGGAAAACAATGGCCATTCCAAAATGTGCTTTTGTTGAGCATTAAAATGGAATTAGAACCTTTCTGGAAAAAAATGCTAAACAGGCAGAAAAAGACAGATGCCAGTAAGAATACTCCTTTTACACATCTGATGATGTTCAACTTTGCATGGGCGGCCCAGGAAGAGATGAACACACTGAATCAGTGGGGCTTGAACCTCTCTTGCCCATTTCCTCCAGGGAACACCTGAGCACCAAGCAGCCATCTACTTTGAGGAAAAGAATGGAAAGTTTGTCTTTCCCTCTTTATTTTTTTTTTTTCCCAGAAATTCACTTCTGAATCTGAGAAGCCTTCTTACTGGAACAAATATTTTCCACAAAAAGTCTCCATTTCATCCAGTCAGCATTTTTGCATACAAACAAATAGACTGTGGGAAAATTCCCACCAAGATTTACTTTGGAGTCTTTCAGAAAAAAAATCATGCTAGGGAGAATTATAGGAATGGCATTTACAAAGGCACACACACATAGTTCTCTGTTGAGTTCAAACACAGTGACACGGCAATATCTAGGACAAAGACTTGAAGGCATTTAACCTTTCATTTTTAGAGCAGGAAAAATCCCTGATACAAGAAAATCAGCCAGGGATAAATAAGCAACCGAATTCTGTACCATCTATTCACAAGCCACAATTTATTCAGTTTATAAAATCTTCAGTGGGGACTGTGCTGAAGCTTGTCAGCAGAGTCTGCAGGACCAGCAGGACTGAGAAGGAGCAACCAAAAGGTTATTGACGTAAAGGCCCAAGTATCTTGAGCAGTGTGTCCTAGAATTGGGAACCAAGGGTCATACAGCTCAAACTGGCTGACAGCTACTTATGTAAGTAGTCTCACTGAACTCAAACCTGCCCTAAAAAGGCACTTAACAATCTTCTGGCTGCAACAATGTGAGAAGAAGGTAAATAACCGGAATAAGAACTATGCAGGCTGTAGTCAAATGCTTCTTGCAGAAATGGCTGGGATGATCATGAAGTTACCTGCTTCCTTCTTCCATCTGCCTTACATTGGCAGCTCAAGATAAACGAGTTGCTTTCACAGTGATGGAAAAATACTTGTATTGGGTATTCCTGTGGGGAAAGCTGTAAATGGCACGTAATGGCCATCCTTGCCATTTCTCCTGCCTGTGGAATCATAGAACATTCTGAGTTGGAAGGGACCCACAAAGATCATGGAGTCCAGCTCCTGGTCCTGGACCACATGGGTAACACCATGTGCCTGAGAGCCTCCAAATGCTTCTTGAACTTTGTCAGGCTGGGTTGACTGGCTGGTGACCATTTTTCTGGGGAGCTTGTTCCAGTGCCCAACCACCCTCTGAAGAACCTTGTCCTAGTAGCCAGCCTCAAGCTCCTCAAGCCTAGCAAATCTCAACTGGTGAGCAAGGCTGAGGAAAACAATTCGTGTTTCAGGAAGAATTTCATTTATTCGAAAGAATAAATGCTGGTAATGCAACTTGCAACTGCCGACTAGTTGAGAGCGCAAGGAACATGAAAAATGTAACCCTGTCCGACCTGCACACACATTCTCTCTGGGTAAAATGAATGTCATTTGCAGATACTAGCCTTGTAAGGAAGTTCTGTAAGCATTTGGGAAATGAAAACTATTCTTACATACTGAATAACCAAAGAAGAGAGAGGGTGGTGGAAAAAACATATGTGACAGTTGTGTTGTGCGACAGTTTTTCTTATCCTCCTCCAAACCATTTGCCTGGCAAATCCCTTTTTTTTTGTTGTTTTTCCTTAACTTTTAGGGTCTTGAGCACAGCTTACCCCTCAAGGAACAAGCATAAAAAATATCCAGTGAACATTAAAGATCATAATATCTCTACCACATTTATTTAATTTCTATTATCTACATCAAAGCATGAATTTGGGGAAGGCACGGTTGTTCAGGGTAAAGAAATGGAATGTGTAACAGAAGAGCCCTTTCCTCAGTCTCCTTAAACACATAAATCATGAATTCTCAAACAGTCTTTTGACACAGAGGTATTTGATTAGGAAAAAACCTGCTCTAATGGAAAGGTTTTAGTTAGCTTGGGATGAAAGAGATGCTATGATTCCTGGTGAATTCTGGAGCTGAGGGTCTTCCTGGGCCATACATTTCTAGCTCCCTTGGAGACTGACGCAGTGCTGAATGCTCAGCAGCTTTGGTATTCATCCAAGATGCAGCGTGACTGCTCCAGAAGGTACTCAGCTCCACAGTCATATTTAAAACATCAGCTTCTGTCTCTGAGGTAGCAGGCTGGGCATGATGAGTTGGAATCCCACTGAATGAAGCATCATACAGCCATCCTTCAGAGGCCATCTGTACCTCCTCCAGAACACTATGGCTTTTCATTAGCAGTCTTGGAAGAAGTGCACTCACCACACCTCCTGGGAATTTCTGAAGAATACAGTTCAAAAGTTCCCTCTTTCACTATTTCCTTATTCTAAAGCAGGGAAAGTATCTTTGTCCTGTCCAGATCTCAAAGACGTGAAACGAAGTTTGGCACCTTAATTTCAAAACATTAACAATCACTTAGACTTTCACTTCTGCTCAGACCTGATTTATGGCTCTCACCTTGCAGGGCATATAATTCAAATCACCATCCACTTAGGTCCACAGGAAGAATCTTCAGGCCAAACCATTACAACAACCCATTACTCTTCTGGCTTTTCTACACCACCAGGAAATGTTAGTGAATGCCAAAATTTTGCAACTGCAAACAAAGGGAAATGGATATTCATCTCTACCATTACTTTCATAATTAGTTGAACAGGGAAAAAACAATCTTACCAGGAAATCCTCACAAGTCTGAACTACATCTGTCAGCCTTGTTTGCTTGCCAGTTCTTCTGATGAACCACAGGAAATATATTCCAACTCCAGCACAGATTGTTCAGAGGAGACAAGACAGGCTCATTAGCGCTGTAACCTATAGGCAGACACAAAAAACCTTCAGCCTTTGGATAGGGTAGAACAGATGAAACCACATGGGCTTGCCTGACGCAACTGGATTAGGTATTCATATTTATGTTGATCGTGTAACCCTGATTGTGGCTCTTTATCAATGTACATGTGACCTCGATAGAGCAGGCTCTTAGATCCCAAGCTCACATGCTTGAGAAACCTGGATAGTGCAGGTTTCCCTGCATGCAACTTCCCAAAGAACTGTATTTCTTTCATGCTGGAGGGTAACTGCAGTAAAACTACTAACGGATACAGTCATCAGATATTAATAGAGTCACTTGAAAGAGTGGTGTAGTTGCTGTGCAGGACTTCCTAGGCACGATAAGTCACAATATGAGTAAATCACTTTTTGAAAACAATGTGATTTTGTCAAAGATTGCTGTACAACACACCATGAAATGTATTAAAAGAAATTATCTGAATAACTGAACAGTGTATTTAAAATTAAATACATCAGAAAGTAAATGAGGCATATTTCCTGGGTCTAGATGTTTCTGTTCCCTCTAGCTAAATTCAGTATCATTAAATGAAGAATTTCACTAGGCTTATTAGTTTGTTGTCTATAAAACTTTTAGGAAATTTATATATGCCCCACTCAGCTGCTTTCAAATAGAAGCTGTTTGACTAGAAGGTTTTTATTTTTCCCATGGAAATCCACAGAAAAATTTCTGTTAGTTTCATCAAGTGAAGGAGGCAGTCTTTATAAAAGTGTCCTTTTGAAGCAGATTTCTTGGAGTCTTTTACTGTAAGAAAAATATTGCTCTTTACAACCCACCATGGCATACTCCTAATTTTATGAGATTAGGAATAGCCTGTCAAAATTCTGAAACACAGGGGGATCCTAATCATGAGCAGCTTGTTCCAGCTAGAATCATATTTCCTATGTTTCAGGACAGCAGTGGGCAAAGTGCTTCATTTGCACCTCGCAGAAATGTGCTTTTCCTCCCCAATTTCTCAGCAGAATGCAACAAGACACTTCCTCTGGCCCTTAGCAACAGCCCTTAGCAAGGGCTGACAGGGAAGTGCAAGCAGCAAAGCCAGGACTAGCAAAGAGCTATTGATTCATGAATGAAAGAGAACATTTTCTGAAATTAAAAAAAAAAAAAAATCATCAAGTCACAATAACTCTGGGACAAGTCTAACTTTAGTGACTAGAAGCAAAAAGAGCAGGCAACTTGAATTGACATTGATCTTGCTGGCATTCCAAGGGTAATATTTTCATTATGATAAAATGTTCTTTAACAATCTCTCCGGTGAATTGGGCACAAACATGCTTTTCTTCTACATTGGTCCTGCCTATCTTCCTGTTCCAACTATTTTTATACTACTAAAAAATATTTGTTTAGGCAATGCAAACAAAATCCCCCCTTCCATGTGTTTAAGTTCCCTTGCCATTTATGCTATACTGTAGTACAGGACCAGCAAGACAAATATAATTTAGTTTCAAACTAATTTTTTTTGTCTTCTTTTCCATCTCCCCTCAGAAAAGGAATAATAAAACTTGCCCAAAACGTTATTAAACATGTAGGACCTGGATGAAAATTCTACAGCACCCATTTCCAACAAACACACCAGCAGAAGAGCATACATACATACATAAATTAAAACACATTTATGGAAGTGAACAGCCAAGTGTGTTTTGTTCAGAGAAATATTTTTGTGTGCAATAATATAGAAAAATCAACACGAAATTGCATATTATGTAAAATATATGTACATAAAATTTCTTCAGTCGTTTTTAAACTTTGATTCCTAAAGACAGCAGGTGAAAAGATGTGATTACAAATAGTCACTATGGATCTTCATCTTGCATAAATTTCCATGGTTTTCTTTGCCCATCTTAATCAGGCGATACTTTGTCTAATTAACATTTTTTCATAGGAGGGAAATAGTCTGTGTGCTTTTCAACACTGCTCCAAAAATACATAGCAGCATTACGTGACAAAATGCATTGGTAGCAGATATACAACTATTGCTTGTTATTATAAAGCATCAGCTGTGCATTCATGGGCTGCACAGAAGACAGTCTCTGACTGAAGTCCTGTAGAGCCTCTGTGAAGATTTATGTGGGGTTTTTTTCCCTGCAGCTTATGATGTGGCAGAATGACCAATTTATGATGTGGGTGGAACTTTGTTCAGCACATGGAAATGCCTCCGCTCTCCAGATTATGTTCTCCTGTGGTAGGCAGTAATGCTTTCTGCCCTCCATATGGCCACCATGTGCCAGCAGACACCAAATTGGTATGTGGGTTAAATGTAAAATAACCACAAGAGCTCCTGAGCCAATAATTACAAAGCTCCTTTTGATATGGTTAGTGTATCATTATCTGTACTGTGCAATAATAAAACAGAGCTCATGTTGTCCCTCTCTTCTCCTTCAGTAGCTGGGGAGCTCATTGCAGAACTAGCACACATAACTGATGTTCACAAAATGCTTTTAGGAATTGTCATAGCAGCAGCAAAGTGCACACCAAAATCGCAGTTCTAATTAGGCATTAGCTTGAATAAAATACTGGAGAGGACAAAAAAAAGAGAGGCTTATTCTCTGCATTCACAGAAAAGAGATATATCTTGCATCCTGGTCTGACTGCTCAGGCTCTGGGGTAGATGAGCTGGTTTGGAGGGTATCTCAGGTGTTAAAGAAGTCCCTCTGTCCATTTAAAGCCTAAATTATCAAGTTTTAGCACTCTGTACTTGTGCTTCAAGGAACACACAGCTCTGTAAACACTGCTAGTTCCCACTTCTATACAGGTGCAGTTCAAGGATGTGAGTTATTTTATGATTTTGGCCTTGCAACAAGTAAAATTAGTCCTTGTGGTTTTACCCAGCAGCTGAGATAAACTGGGATTCAGAAGCAAATTCTTCCTAGATATGCTTAGCTATAGGCTTAGGACAGGTCATTATAAATAAAGAGCTCATGACTATTGCTTTGCTTTGGTGCACTAAATCCCAACATTTTTGCAAGGATTTTTTACAGACTTGATATTTTTGAGAAGATGGAATTTAGTGGGAGGGATTTGTTGAACAGGGAGTGCTTAAACTTGTTTTTTCTCTTACACTTGGCAAATATGGATTATTACTTGTCATAGTGCAAAATGGCATTTTATGTGTGATTTTGACTGACCTGCCGTGTTAAATGAAAACAAATAGGACTTGTCACTCATTTGTCTTCTGAAAATGTAGTTCAGAACATTCCAGCTGTCTGGTGCAAGATGGGCTTCCTGCTCATCTTCTGGCAACATCTATAAGGCAATAGATGAGCTCTGTCTCTATCTGAAAATGTACAAACACTCCCATTAATCAGGAATGGAGAAGCTGGTGCACATACAAAATCCAGTTAGAAAGTAACTCACATGAACAGCAAATAGGATTTTCAGGTTTGTTGCCTATTTGTCATTTGTAACAGCTGACAGTGTTCTAATGAGCTTTAGCATTTTTCTCCTTATAGAGTATGGAGTATATTAATATGTCATTAATTATAGTGTATTAATTATTCATTATGTTGAATTAAATAATAAAGGAAGTCTGGAGTATACAAAGGAAAGCTATGTGTATATATAGATGTATGTATAGATATGCAGGGCTCTAAGAGATCTGCTCTTAGTGCTCTGTAAAGGGCCATCATTTTTTCAATGTCTTTGGTGTTATTTTTTGATCAAGGATTTTGCAAGGATGCCCTATGACCAGGGGAGTGAAGGATCTCTCAGTCCTCACAGCTTCTCCAGCTGTGACTTCCACCTAGGCTGCACATTGTGGGCACTGTAAATCCAACAAGTGATGCTTCATTGACAACCATGTCACACATCACAACTCCTCACATCTAGTGAGAACAATTCCAGCCCAGCTTTAACCTTTATTAAGACTGTCAGGCAAAACTTGCAAAAAAACCCTCCAAACCAAACCAAAACAAACCTAAACAAAAGAACCAAACAACTTTCTGCTTTACGTTGGTAATTTTCATTTAATTACAGTTGTATTTGTATATTTGTAGCTAAAATGCTGGCCATGCCATTTCTGCCCTTTTCTTTTTAACTTTTTTTTCCGATCTGTTATAAACCAGTCATTGGTTTCCTGACCCAGACAGCTCCCATGGGTATCAAACACCCTCTAAGTACTGGATTTTTGGATTGGCTTTCTGATTTGGCTGACAGACATGTGAAATCACACACAGGGAAACTGCTCCAAACCAGGTTGGCAGAGACTGAAAGCTACTACTATCTGGAATCTGTCCAGAGATAGATGGGAATTACAGTATTTTTGTAGTCTCAGTCAAGTTTCTGGCTGACCAGTATCTGCATCACAAAGCCACCACTATAGCCTTCACTTGGCAGTAATTAGTACTTTGTTAACAATCTCCATAGGGAAATGGTTAACAAAAAGCACAAGAAAGACCAGAGAGTGAGTGATAGGGCAAACAGCTGAATATCCAAAATAGCTATATGCAGTACCAAGAATATGTTGAATAAAGAGGAACACTCACAGTCTTCATATGCACAAATCCATGACATCATAGGGGCCACAAAGTCCTGATGGAACAAATCAAGGAACTGGAATAGGGACATAGAAACAGCTTTTTTTTCAAGAAAAAAGACAGAACAAGGCATTTAGACATAAATGTTTGCTTTTCATTTCAGTGAGAGCTAAGAAGCTGGCTTCTTGACTGCCTTAGAGTGAACATGAGGAGGGAAATGAAAAAGATGTATGTCTTGTTGGATGTGTTTTGGAGAAAACTAAATCATGGAGAAGAAGTAATACATGAGGGTCTTTTTGCCTGAGCAATTCATAGAGATGTTCAAGAGCCAGCCTTGTCTCTACAAGGCACTTCAAATAGCATTATATCCTCTGAAAAGCAGTAGAGGAGGACACAGACAGTTGTCAGGGAATGCACTGAGGGCAGGTTTTCCATCAGAAGGTGTGGTGTGAAGAGACACAATGTTTGGGGACACAGTTAATCTGAATTTGATA